TGCCGTAAACTGTGTTTTGTTTTCGAAATATTTTCCGATTTAATGATTGTTTGAATCAATTGTGTGTCAAATGCCGGACATTAGAGTCACGCCATTGGGTAAGACATTGTCACCAATTGATGCCATCTAACCATCCAATGACCACTTGTTTAGGCGCGGGTCAGGACGTGGGCCGGAGCTGTGTTTTGGTGACCATTGGGTCCAAGAATGTGATGTTTGACTGCGGAATGCATATGGGATTCAATGATGAGGTAACCTATGACTACATCCCTGTCCACCACCACTCACACCATCTCTATCCCACTGTCATCGTAGCGCCGATTCCCGGACCTGTCGTACATCACCCGCGAGGGCCCACTCAACGAGTTCTTGGACTGTGTGATCATAACTCACTTCCATTTAGACCATTGCGGAGCACTTCCATACATGTCTGAAATGGTGGGCTTCGGTGGACCCATATATATGACTCACCCGACGAAAGCCATTTGTCCGATACTTCTGGAGGACTACCGGAAGATTACGGTCGACAAGAAGGGTGAGACGAACTTCTTCACGTCGCAGATGATCAAGGATTGCATGAAGAAAGTGGTGGCAGTGAACCTGCACGAGACGGTCCGGGTGGACGACCAGCTCGAGATCAAGTGCTACTACGCGGGCCACGTGTTGGGCGCCGCCATGTTTCACATCCGCGTGGGTCAGCAGTCGGTGGTCTATACCGGCGACTACAACATGACTCCCGACCGCCATTTGGGCAGCGCTTGGATCGACAAATGCAGACCCGATCTGTTGATCACCGAATCGACGTACGCGACCACCATTAGGGACTCCAAGAGGTGTAGGGAACGGGACTTTCTCATGAAAGTACACGAGTGTATCGAAAAGGGCGGCAAAGTGTTGATCCCTGTGTTCGCGTTGGGAAGGGCTCAGGAACTCTGTATTCTTCTGGAGACCTATTGGGAGCGAATGAACCTCAAGTGTCCCATATATTTCGCCATCGGGTTGACCGAAAAGGCCACCAATTATTACAAACTCTTCATCACTTGGACTAATCAGAAGATTAAGAAGACTTTTGTCCAGAAGAATATGTTTGACTTTAAGTACATTAAGCCTTTCGATCGGTCCTATTCTGACAATCCCGGCCCTATGGTTGTGTTCGCCACTCCCGGTATGCCATTCATTGTATCACGTCTTTGGTCATTAGTTCTAACAGTTTGTCTGTGTGTTGAGCTCAGGTATGCTTCACGCGGGTCTGTCTCTACACCTGTTCAAGAAGTGGGCGCCCAATGAGAACAATATGGTAATTATGCCGGGATTTTGTGTGCAAGGTACTGTTGGACATAAGATCCTAAACGGCGCCAAAAAAGTTGAATTTGAAAACAAACAGTCCATTGATGTGAAAATGTCGGTGCAGTACATGTCGTTCAGCGCTCACGCGGACGCTAAAGGTATGGCAGCTTTGGTCAGACCATGAATTGGTGTTAAATTACATAAATTGATGTATTTGTTAGGAATCATGACTTTAATACAACAGTCGGAGCCCAAGAACGTACTGCTAGTGCACGGCGAGGCCGCGAAGATGGAGTTCCTGCACAAGAAAATCAAACAGGAGTTTGAGATCGAGTGCTATATGCCGGCCAATGGGGAGACCGTTACGATCGGCACGAAAGTCAGTATTCCGGTCGACGTTGAGATCGATCTGTTGAAGCGATCGTTGAATTCATCGAGCGATAGCTCTGACCCGAAGCGTCCGAAACTACTTCACGGCACTCTTATGATGACTAACACAGGAACGGGACCTCAGTTCAGATTAGTCGACCCCAACAAAGCCATGCAAGAGCTCGGAATCAAACCACATGTCATCCAATTCACGTCAACTGTCAAACTCAAGGCATCCAATAGTACGCCACAAAAAATCACTGAATTTGTATTTCAGAAGTTGAAAAAGTATTGAAACATGTTTTTGATTGCAATGAAAATTAGGATATAATCTAATATATTATTATTACGGCAATTATTTTTGACAGTAAACTCTCGGATCAACACGACATCAAACTTGCGAGTGACTGCTCTATCATAGCGTCCACAGCAATGATTAGAGTGAATAAAGGGTCGGACAATGATCTGAAGGAAGTGTATATTTCGTGGTCCGATCACGTGAGTGACTAATCACTAAAAAAATAATTTAATTGAATTAATGATGTATTGTGTGGTCTATAGGAGGAAGCATTGGGCAGTTATCTCATTAATTTCATACAAGGACTCCAGAGATCACTCGACACATAGAATCAAATGAATTGATTTCTTGAATCATTTGAATACTTTATTATCAAATTCATAATAAATAACTAAATTGTATATAAATACCTATAAATACATTAAAGTTTAAATCATTGATTGATTATTAAAATCTATAAATAGTGTATAAAATGAATAGTATAATAATGATAATTAACGCAAACTACGATAGAAAAGCAATAATTTCCATCCAATCTCTACACTTTTGATATGTATTTCGAGTAATAATAATAGAGTTGGAGATTATGTTTAGAAATGTTTGACACATTTAATGTCACTCTTTATTATCAGTAATCGAAGCGAACATTAATTACCGGTAAATGTCACGAATTATGAGCGAAAACAGTGTTACGCTTGACTTGAATTGGAAATAATTGATTCGTCGGCGTATGGGTCGTGAGTGTCGTCTATATAGGGAAAGACATTAGAGTTGTGACCAAATCTGTTCAGTTCTGTACGAATGGCTCTAATGATGGACTCGGTTTGGGAACTCATTTGTACGGATATTAGTTGAGGAATATGATCACTGGAATCGGTTTCGATCTCTTTAGTGGTCACGAAAGTGGTGCTAATATATCCATTACCAGTGCCTCTGTCTGTAACTCTAGCAGTGCTACCGGTGCTACCGGTGCTCGCATCTCGCAATCTTACGATTGGAACCACTTTTTGTTTTTCCATTTGGAGACTACTCTCTGAGCTTTGCGTACCTTTCGATACAACACTTGTCGTGCTTTTGCTTTTGCTGTCTGAAGACAAATGTCTTTTATTCATATCGGACTCAAAGCGCAAGTATTGAAATTCACTGCTATTATCATCCGCTGTCTTCAGATGAGTAGTCGAAGCATTGTTTTTGGGATCCATAGGTTCCGAAACAGTTCGCCAATGGATTTGATTGTCAGGTCCGACACGATTGAGCTCCGAGTGGAAGGCATCCCTCCATTTGCGACTCTCGGACCGGTATTTGCAGAATAGCAGTCCTCCCATTATTAGGCATATAATCAATATTATAGCCGAACATGAGATTAATATTATTGCCAATAATTTCATCTCAATTTTTGCTGCATTTACGGTGTGATAGGCTGTGTGTATAATTGATTTCATAGTAATTAGTTTTATAAAAACTAAATCATTAAATCATGCAATATTCAGATAAATGTAAATATTATTTTTAAAGCTTATTGTATAGAGTTTGAAAATATTCATTATTTTGTTGACATTTATTTCATTAATTTTTATATATCGGCTTAAAATACTATTCTGGTTTAATAACAATAATATGCAAAATACATATAATTCTTGTATTCATAGAGAATTGAAACGCTAATGAATTGCACGGCTATTGTACTGTTAAGGCAGTTGTAGTGCACATCTGACCTAAACTAGACTCACATAACTGTGCGATAGAGTCAGTGGATGCGGACGTATGGATGTAGTGATTGATTAATCATAAAAATAAAACATATAATTAAAATTGAATTGTTATATGACTTACGTTTGACTTTATCGATGACAGCCATACCAATCATTTCACTGTATTTCTCGTCCGTTATATGACTCAATACACTGACTATGTCTTCATAGGGAAGCAAAACCTCATCCTTTTCCACATAATATATCACTTGAATCTCATTTAATCCGTTTTTGTGGTTTATTTCTTTTAACTGCAAATTATGATAGAAAACTAATTATCAAATAGTAAACCGTTTTAATCACGAAAATGTGTTTGGGATTTTAATGCCATTGTATTTATACTTTTAATTTATTTTCAATTCCTAAGCCTTTATATTGTTTGCTAAGAAGACATACAAATGACACTCGAGTTTGGCTTTTATGGAGAAAGTATTTTCGTGTTTCCAATTTAAGCCATAAATTCATTGCCGTTTATATTGTATACGAAATAATCAAATAATACTAAATATAAATGTCTTTCTTTCCTTTGTTTCTACTTTTATATCCTTTGCTTATCCACTAAATGAACAAAATTTCTAATTCATCTAAATGCTAATAAAAATCATTATAAGTTATAATTTTATGTTATAATACGCGAGTGATGTCTAAAAAGATTTGTGAAAAGGATTGTTTTTCCAGTGACCTCTAAGCTAACTGTGCTATATTTTTGCCATATTTTTTGCTATATTGTCGATCCAATGGTGGGCGAGTTATGTAAGATTGATATTCTTAGTGTTCATACCTTAACAGCAATAATAGTGTCATTGAGTTTTGATAACAGCTTTCTGACGGTTCCTTTGCCTGCAATCCGATCCGTTTGTTTGTATTGCTGTCGAAATGCATACAAATATATTTGCGTAATGTTTGACTCAATTCTCGCTTCTATACTCCCAATCGATTCATGATTTGTATTATTCAGTACTGAAGTCATAATTGAATTAAAATAAGAAAAGAAAATAAATGAAATGTTAATTAAAAGAAATCATTCAATATTAAGACATCTTTTTTTTGCTATAATTAAATAATATATTTAGGAAACTATGGACATATTAAGTGATAAATTCTGTCATTTATGTGAAATTAAGTGAAATAGTAATTAATACTAATTTATTATTCCATTCAAAGTGAGAGTCAGAAAAAGTTGTACAATTAGAGTCAGGAATACAAACTAATTTATATGTATTTTAAGTTTTAATGAATGTTTGATAAGATATCATTTGACTGAAAATATAGTATATAATTTATATATTTTATATTTTTAATCAAAATATTTATATTTCTTAAAGGAAAGCAGAATCTTAATATCAACACAGAAATGACTTTACGTAACATTTATTAATATTTAATGAAAACAACTATTACTTTATTGGAGTTTGAAATTTGAAAAAATCATTTCTATATTATTTATAAAACCCTAATAAATCTATAGAGAGAAATGGAAATCACGTTTCTGTCAGTACTTGTCATTGAAATCATTAAATATGGTTTCAATAAATGAGATGTTTGAAAAGGATGCCTACCTGTGCGCACTAAATAATCCTCAAAAGGCCTTTCAAGTGCTAGTCTCTGATTAGGATTGCCGAGGCTTTCCGGACACAATGGGACCGGAGTTGGACTCGTGGTCAGTGTTGTCGTCGGATAGTTGAGTGAAATTGTCTCCAATCTCTCGATTGTTTTTATTGAAGTCATTGTTTGTAAGGGTTTTAGTGATGCGGTCGACACTGATGTGAATTGTAATGAAGTTTGAATTGAAGTCATAAATGGATTATCAGTTGAGAGAGTGTTGAGCGAAAGTGATGGCGAAAATGATAGACGACTTCCAGAAATTGAATTCTTATCGCTTTCTATAACTCCCGTCCAATGAATTGAAAGACTCGGATAAATAGGTGTCGACTCTATAGGGCTTACGCTCTGTGTCTCAAGAATCGTAAAACTAGACTCTATTTCAGGCATTGAATATGAATTGGATTTTGTTTGAAAACCTGAGCTCAATATATATTCTTTTGTTATTAAATGTTCACTCAATCGATCAGAAGTAATGACACTTTTGGACGGTATGTACTCCGACGACATCCAGATATAATCTGGTGATAGTGTGGCCAAAGATATATCACTTGAAGGCATAACTCGTATTGAAGATGAGGGACCTGTTGACCAATTAGTCCACATTTTATAATATTATTAAAATCTTTAATTAATTCAAATTTAACTAAAACATGGATTAATTTTTAAAATAAATAAATAAACAATAAAAATAAAAACCTAAATATTCATAAGAACTTCGACTCAAAGTTCCTAAAAAGTCATCAGGGTTAGGTGTAGTCAACCATTTAGATGAAAATTGAGACCAAATTGTATGACACGATTTAATTAGAGTAGAAGACATCAGTATTGGAGGTTTAGGTGTTTTGGTTCTTATCCTTGTAATGGTTGGCAAAACATTTGCTTTAATTTGAGTGACAATTGTTGTCCAGACATAGCTTTCTGTCATATTTTCATCGTTAGGTCCATCACCCGAGCCATACATTGGATAAAAATCCTCAAATCTTATTTTAGGCCATTCCCGGCGTATTGGTCTTGACTTTCGGTCTATTGTCTCGTCATTGATATTTTGGGCTAATTATCAGAAATTTATATAATTTAATCGCTATATTAATAATTTTAATACTGTATAAGTAGTTTTATTTATAATAATAGTATTTATAAAATATGATTTATTCTAAACAATGAATAAAATAAATGGTATAACTTATACCCTATAAGCAAGTATAAATAATCAATTAAAATTAACTCAAATCTAAACAATTCCAATAAAGTAATATTGTATTTTTAAAATAAATTGACTTAATCCTTTTTGGAGACTAATCTAATAAATATTTTGTGTCCATTGCATACGAGTTATATAAATAAATCTCTCGTTTGTTGTCTTTAACTCAAATGATTACTCCTTTGTCTCTAATCTATTGAAATGCAAATCAAAATCTAAAACCTAAAACATGTTTTGCATATTAAATAACATGGAAAATATTTTAAATAGCTCTAAATATTATTAAAAATTCCCTATAACCTATGTTTACAAATTATTTAAAATTCAAATCATGATTGAATTAGACCACTAATTGTTTTCATTTGTGAAATGTTTGAATAAGTAATTAAATAAAAGTTTACCTGAAGTTTGAAAATTATAGAGAAGAAGCCAATGAATAATATAAACAAATAACATATCTTTAATACACTCTGTAGTTGATTCACTCGATACTAAAAACTAAGTAACAATTAATTTGAAAAATTAAAAATAAAACCACTTTTTGTCAGACATTACTCTAGTTGTGGTAAAAAATAATTTGGCAAAAATAGAAGTTCATTAGTCAGTCCACCCATTATTTAGCATAAAATATAGTGAAAGTATAGCAAAGTATAGCATATTTGTTAATAATTATAAAACTCTTCGATGCGTTTAGAAACTTCCCGATGAATAGAGGGAATGGAGAATATCGCACAGGATATACATTGTCACACAAAATACACACCGGTATGCCATCAGACACACATCCAAATCAAGTGCCATATTGTCAAACATTATGCCATCGATGCTATTATTTCATTATTTATTGTCACAACAAAGCGGAAGAATATTTTTATTAAACGCGGATTAAAATGAAATTTTTAAT